TTTAGAAGTAGTTTCAATTTCATAATATTTGTCATTACTAAGATTATATCTGTTTTTTAAAGGTTTATCAAGACTACCTACTTTATGATGTTTTTTTCTTAATCTTGGTTGATTTTCAATTGGTTCAAATATCAAATTAGGATCATCAATATAAAGTGATAGTGAAACTTTAGGTGGTTCCTTTTCATACATCACATTTTCTTCCCATGGTGTTTCTAATAACTTATTAACATATTCTCTCATTTCAATGTTAGGAGCAGGTTTACATTCAGTATCATTATCAAAAATATAATCCTCCCATTTCACTATATCAACAATAGCAGTTTTCTTATTGTAGCATTCAAACTCAGGTTTGTAATTTATGTGTGTGTTATCACCAACCTCATCTTTTACGTACTTATTTTCATAAACATACACACTGTTCCTAAATTTATATGAATCATCAACCTCATAAAGCATTTGCTCTGGTGGTTTGTTAGACACCTTGTACTTCTTAAATTTATAGTTATACGGTACTTCATTGACTAGTAAATCTAGAAAATTGAACTCCTTCTCCTCCCCATTCATTATAGAAAAATAATTTAAAAAATAAAAATAAATTTATTTCTTATTAGTTAAAATAACCTTATTTTGTTTTACAGTCCCAGATAAAGATAACAATAATCTGTAAATAATAAGAGGTATGAATAAGCTAACAACAATAACCTTAACTATAAATTTTTCATTGAAAGTTTTATTGTTAGCAAAGCTTAAAACAACTTCATAAGAACTAAGACCATAAAGGAAATAGTATGTCATACCCACTGATCCTATAAACAGTGATATGTATATTACAGCTTTACCATTAAAAATATCAAATGGCTCCATTAAACACATTAATAAAGGTAATCCGTATCTACAAATATGTAACAATGGTGATTTATAATCATCAGTAAAATTTCCATATAAAGAAGGATTAGTAAGAGCAGTAAACCAATAGAATACAGTGAAACCAATCTGATAACTGATAATTAAAGTGAGCAAATACGAATGAAGCGTTTTAATAACTCTAATAAACTTGAAAAATCCAAACATAAGTGAAATAACAGTAAAGACATTTAACGTAGTAATTCCAAATTTAAATCTCCCTTCTGGGAATTTCAATATGAATTCTTTAGTATAAACACTTAAAGGAATTTTATACATAGCGTACAGATGAAATCCAAGAAAACAAATTTTAATAAAGTGACCAACCATTTGAATGAAATTTTTTACTAAAATTTTCATTCAAAAATCTTAAATAATTTTAAATGAAAAAGATGACAGAAACTGATCATGATAATAAAAAGGACAATGGAATTTATTTAGAAAAGAATAGTTTTTGGGATAATGTTAAAGTAGTTAATGATACTAATCCGAATAGTAATTCTAAATTTTTAGAAAATGAAATAAAACCTATAACCAAAGCCCAAACACACAACCAGAAGGGTAAACAAATCAAAAAGGCTAAGAGTAAAATTCATCACCCTGATTTTATCGAATTTCTCGAACCATATTTTTGTTATCTTACTGAAAGAAACATAAAAGAAATAACTTTTAATACATCTAAATCCATAAGACTGTATCATGAGAGTGAATACCTTGATAATTACAATATGCTTAAAGAAAGATTGTGTGCAACTTACATATTAAATGAAAACTTTGATTTTGATAAAATACCTAATTTTGAAAATGAATTAAGATTTGAAGAGAATGAGAATATAATTAAATATGAGATATCAAGCAAACCAACTATAAATTTTATACCTCCAAGTAAAGTACAATCCGGAATACTTAAGTTTTTTATGGATGAAAATATACTGGATGAATTACATAACGAGGGTATTGCAGAAATAGCCCAAAAGTATAGAAGTATAGTAATTCTCAATACTGGATTTAAACAAAAGATAAAAGAATCTCTTACTAAAAGAGTTTATCACAAAGCCTATTTTAAATTATATGAAATCATTCACAAAGAATTATTTTCAGCTTATAATAGAAGAAAGTCAAAAAGAAGGAGAAAATTTGAGGAATTTGAAGAAGAAATAATTCTAGAGCATTTAAATAGGGAAATTGAATTCTTTGAAGAATTTGGTCCATTAAACCAATTTAACACATTTGAATACATTCAAGATCAAAATATACTTTCTGATGAAAATAACATTTTGGAATAAACTAAATTTATTTCTTAAATTTGTTAATTACACTTCCAAACATCTTTGATAGATCTTCGGTATTGATGTCTTTTAGTAAATCATCAATTGAGCCTGTAAAATCTGAGTTGTTTAAAATATCTGGACTTTTATTAGAGTCTTTAGATAAGTTAAGCATATCATTAAGTGTCTTATCACTTTCATCAATTAAAAGTCCTTTTTTAACGTATTTTAAAGACAATTCTGGGTTGGTTTCTTGATTTAAATACGCTAATCTTTTATAGAGTTTTAAATTAGAAGGTTCTATTTCAAGTCCATTTAAACAATCTTTCATTGCACTTTTAATTTGATTTTGTTTCTGTAAAATAATTGATCTGTTGATAAGTGCATTTACATTACATGGGTCAATCGATAGTGTTTCATTGTATTTCTCAAAAGCTGCCTCTAAATTGTTGTCTTTAAACAACTTATTTCCCTCTTCTTTTAAAAGCTCAGACTTGTAATTGATATCACTGTATTTAGTTTCCATGTTATTCAACACAGTCATTACAAATACGTACTCTTCTTCTGTCATTATAAACTTTCTCTTCTCAAAGAATCTTCTTATACCATCATAACTACTAACCTTTTCTTTTAAAGGATTAAATTCTTTACGATTATCTTCTTCATTGTTCATAAATATTTTCTATTAAATTTTTTTAAATTATTTAACATAATTAATCAGAATATTATTAGTTTTATATAAAGAGTTGTTTTTATAAATTTAATGATTATTAATTATACAGTTTTTTTAATATAAATAAATTGTAATACTTTTAATTTTATTAATATAACTTAAATAAAAACTTTTTTAATTTATTTCTCTTATATTTAATAATTAAATACATCATATTATATTTATTTATTTTAATTTCTAATAAAATCAATAATTCTAACAATTATATTATTTATCAATTTACCAAACAAACATTTTGATATTTGATTAGTATTAAAAAATGTAATATTTTATAGTTAATTTTTAATTTATAAAAATTTTTTACTTAATTTATATTATTTTTTATAGTAAATTGACTTAATTTTAGTTTAAAAAAAATAAGTAT